GACAAGCTCATTGTGTATTTTATTAGAGAAATAAAGCAGACATTCTTTGTGTTGTATTATAGTATATTTTTTGTATAAAAAAAATTATATAAATAATATTGATTTTATTTTATACACGAGATAGCATAAGATATGAATAACGGTTCAAGTAATGGTTCCAAATGTTGGTTCCGATAATTATAGTAAAATAGTTACATAATTCCACAAGATTTTTACACACAACAAATTCTGCTAAACTAATAATATGATTAGTTTTTTCTTCATTTCATCGTTTCATAGCATGTACCTTAGTTTCGGATTTTTCGCTTAGTACTCTAATAAATTTTATCTCGTATATTATATAATTTTTAATGGTTATGGACTTGTGATTTGTTTTGCAGTGTTAAAAATCAAAATTAACGCCTATCAAATTTAAATATATTAATTTGTTCCAAAAAATAAGCATGTTGCTTGCTTTTGAAGAAAATAGATGAGTATGTTGTTGGTAGCATTTTGTTTTTTTCTATAAAGTTGTTAGCATTTTGTTATATGGGACATTTAAATAACTATTTTGATTCTTTTAAAAAACTGATATTAACATGGTTGTTTCTTATTTCATACTTATTATAGATAAGGTGTATTTCATTTCCGAACTTATGTGAATTACATGAAGATACTAATAATTACTTGGTGTGCTCTCGTGCGTCCTAGAAACGGTTTTACGTTTACGTGTTAAAATAGTTGTTATCCTAAACAAAACCAAAACAATAAAACTTATGCTTTTGAAAAATATAACAAAATTTAATTGTTGGAAGAAAATAATGAAAATTGTTAGGAGAAATGATGATTTTTTTTGTAGAACAGAATGAGTCGCTGACACTTATCCTACTATCTGCGCCAAACAAAGTATCCACTCATATTTTGCCGTGTGGGTCCCACTTTTTGACCACTTGTCGTTTTTCCTCACCTACTTTTCAATTTCATACATGTTCATATTACATCTATATCTTTTTTTTTTCTTTACATATATATCAAATACGTGTCTATATCTATTTTGTGTATATATCGTTGTATTTATGTACATAGCCATATTACATACGTATCTTTTTTTTTAATAATATTTTATAATATAATAATCACCGTTACATGTTATGACACAAAGTCATATAGTTTTAATAAAAAAATACAAAGAGTGATTAAGCTTTAGAGTACATTTAGTGTACTAGATACAATCGAATCTTCCGTTTCGATCGAATTTGGTAACAATGGTGAAGCCCTCTAGCCACGTCCACCTCGATTTCCACGACCTCGGTTTTCTCTTCCACCACTTGTGATTGGCCAATTCATCTCCTTAGCTTTCGGTTTGACTGGTCTATCTTATGATACATACGTATCTTCGAGCAATGGTGGCTTCTTCGTCGTCAACTAAGTTCGTTTTAACAAACAGAGTGCAATGAATCTCATTGTTCGTAATCAATGAAATATATATTCCTACTCCGCTACTCGTACGTCCAGAAAATGTACACTTGCATTCTGAAAATTAAGGAAATGTGTACGTGGTAAATTTCAAAATTATTAGTTCATCAACTACATAATGCACCATTTTTTCTCAAAAAAAAAAAAAAACTACACCATGATGTAATCTTTAATATTTTCATTTTAATATCATTTATATACGACATAAAACTCTAAATGTAAACATGGAGAAAAAAAAACGGATGAGATAAATATATAATAAACAAAACTTTAGATATGTGCAACCTTTCTGAACGCATCATGCAAAGTTCAAATATATATTTATTTTTTGAGAAATGAGTTCAAGTTCGAATGTCTGGACGATGAGAAGTGTAATAGAACTCAAAATGGATTGGATTGATCATTGATCTAATAAAAATGCAAAGAAATTTTCAAAAAGATATGCTCAACTTTTTTTACGAAGCTATGACACTTCTTCGTCAATAAGGAAAGACTCAAAAGTTTTAGTTTAATCCATATATCTCGATTTTTTAATAGTAAAGTTAATTGTTTAGTTCTAAATACTAAATCTTGAAATATTTTTTTTTCTGTTTGTAGGACTTCAACCACCGGATTGATTATTAGTTAGCGAGAGAAAATTATATATTTGAGTTGCCCAAAAAACCTAAATTTTATAAAATAAGATGATGGAAATTAAGTGTCGATCGAGAATAGCCAAAGAGGAGAGTATCGGTCTATAGATATGTGATAGACATCGACCAGACCGTTAGAGAAAACATCCGATCGATGGACTGACAGAGATTCTTCGGATCTAATTTATGTTGTCATACGATGGTTGTGACACATTTTAACATTGAAAACTTTAATGTTTTGTTTTTATCCAAATAACTAAACAAGTGGGTTCATAAATAAATAAGTTAGTTGGGTCTACTTTTTGGATTAACCTATCGATCGGTGAACGAGGAGTTTATTTTTGGCGTGGTGGACATATGGGCTTAAGCAATTTGATCAAATTGGTTTTGACTACTTTCTCTAGCTTATATTTAAATATTAAGTTATTTTCTTTGATAAACTATTTTACTAGTCGCATGGATCTGACCTAACTCTGTATTTCAGCGCTTTGAAGCTCTTTAAGTCAATACATTGTGTCGCGGAGAGAGACCATTAAGCATTTTTTAGTCATTAATTATTACTGAGTATTTTTCAACATGATTAGTTTCTCCCCAGTAGACATTATCACATTATCAACACCAGTTTCATTTTATTTTTGTTTTTCTCTAGATATTGAAAATGATGGATTTTAATGTGAGACTATAAGTTTTTAATTCAAACTAATTAACCATAATTGGAGAAACACATACTATTCTTTAGAACATAGTGTAAATTTATCTCAATTTTCGATGTGAGACATTAACCTTTAACTGTCTCACTAATTTAAACGAATATTTTTTTAAGTGAAAAGAATGAAGAAAGATTAGATTTTTTGTTACATCACATCTAAGCTTTGGTATAACACGGTTCGAATATTATATACATTGTTTGTTTGGATGCAGATCCGATATCTATGTATATAAAAAAATAGAACTGTATTTTTGTTATCTGGACGGTGACACAACCCGGTTCACTATTATTCTAGCGGTATGGGTCATAAAGAAAAAGAACATATAAAAGAGTACCCGGTTCAAATCCAATTTCCAATTTGTGTGGCTTCGCATCAAATAGAAATAATAATAATAAAAAAAGAGGGAAAAACAAAACAATGACTAGTAAATTAGTAAAGTGCAATAATTGATTGACTTATCAAATTTATTAGAAGAATAAAATATTTACAGAATTTAGAAAAGCTACTTGAAAAGAATATGGACCGTTTGGTATAAAGAGATTGGGAAAAAAGTCACAAACACAATAGGTCCAGAAACGGTGTGACGTGACACACAGATTAAAACGCAGCATCGATCGAAGATCGTCATCATATACCATTTCTCCCTTTACTCTCAAGCCACAAGAACAAATCTTATTTTATACTACTATATAATTTTACTAAATATATATATAAAATTCTGATCGACAATGAAATAAATCTTGAATTCCTTTTTTATCCAAACTTTATAATTGTCGTAGGGATCTATATGTGTATTATTATGTAAGTGAAATCATTGTTTAGTGCAAAATATAAAATAGAATAATTGGGTGTACATTTTTTTTGGTGATTCGTGGGTAATTAAGAAAAATAAATATACACTTATTTAAGAAAGTTGTTTCTACATCTTTTGTCTGCAACTCACACATCAAAACACTATTACACTATAAGACATTATAACAAAAGACCATATTTTAGTTAAAAAAAAAAATACTACACCTTATTAAGCCTTTGGAAATTAGTTAAAGGTAATTCTATAAGGTTTGGAAGACTTCTTAAATTTATTAAATTTTATATAAAAAATTACTGAGGTATTAAAAAAACACATTGATAAATAATTGAGAAATTTCAAAAAATGCCACTTTTCAAATGCCACATTACAAAAATGCCACACTTTTGAAATCTTTACAAAAATGCTACTTTTTCAAAATTATTTTTTCTTTATATTATTTATG